GACTTACCAAACAATGTATAGTCAACATCAAGGACTAACAATTTCTTCCCTTCTCTTGGAGGATTCAGTATTTCTATTTTGTACTCCTTAACTCTGCGGGAGATTTTCAGCAGATTCTCCTCCCTAAACACAAACAATATAAGCATCATATAGTTGTAGTTTCTTTAGCTAGTCATTCACTTATTACTCTACACAATGACTCACCGATTTTCTACTTCAACAACTTCCTCTTCAATATCAAAATCATTGACTACATCTTCATTATCAGGAGGTGGCCCGAGGACATCTTCCTATAATGAAGGTAATTTTTTAAATAAATTAGCACAGAAATAGTCATGTGTTTGCCTAATTTGGTGGATTATCCAAAAAAGCAGCAGCCACACAGCCACGGAGGCTGACTATAAAATGAATTGTCTGCTGCAGCATAGCATCCCTTCACTCTTACTTGATTGTTCCTGCAAATAAATCAGCTGCAGTCTTGTTAACATTTAAAAGTCCTGGGATTTGTAAGTAAAGAATAAACTCAGATTACCATTCAAGCTTCTGGAATCCACACTGAACTTGGATTTTGGTCCATATGGGAAGAAAAGGGGAAATCCAGTCTATACTTTTAATATTAAAGGCTTCAAAATTTTTTTCATCTTTTCCACTTCAAGCAATGGGAGAAAAAGTTTGGTCCAAGTCAAGTGTTGCACTAAATTTCTCTCTGGAAGTAACATAAAGCTGTAGAAGTGTTTGATGGCAATATCTTCCCTGTTCCTATTATGTGACATGTTACATACCTCAATCCTCTTTTTTGCTCTCCTATTTTAAGAGTGCTACTGGGACAGGAGGCGTAGGAATGATTTGTTCAGAAACCAAAAGAAGAAACAGATCCTGAATCTCTTTTTTTCAAGTTGGAACATTCTCACAGGCCTTGAAAAAGAGAATCTGATTTGTCCAATGGCCTTCACGACATTATCTCAAGAATCAAAGGACTGCAGCCCAGACCAATGTTTTCTTGATAGCTATTCATACTATAGGAATTAACAGAGTAAATATGGTTGAATGAATTGATAGACACTATGCTCACAGGAAATCAGCAGCTGCCATTTAATTAAAGGCTACTGCAACAACAAAAAGGGCATGGAAATAAAATAAAATGGAAAGCAAATGGTACTGTATTTCATAAGTTCACATGGTATATAGGAATCCTGCATTTGGAATAATAAATTTGGTCCATTAATATGTATTGTGAAAAGGCAACTATTTACACAAAGGACCACTAAAAGTTTTCACAAAAGCAGGCTCTTTACATCATTCTAACATGATTTTGGTGGTTACACTTTAGTGAATTTTATAGCCATTAGAAATCGGTATCTATGCTTTAACAGAGCAAGAAGATATTTTACCAAACTTTCCTCACGAGTCCCCATCATCATGATTTTAGTATTTGGTTTCAATTTTAATGATCCAAGCTTCACATCATTTTCTGCTGGCTTGCCTGCAATATAAACAGATTAGATTTCCTAAGTAACTGTACAATTTCCTCTTCCTGCTTATTCTGAATGACATTTTTGAATCACTGACCTATTAAGGTCAAACAAATCAATAAAAGACAAAATTCTTTCTATATAACTTTTTATGATTGAAAGACCTCAGTTACCCTGAGGTAAGATGTTTATTTGTTTATTTATTATTTATTTATTTTTCTGCTATGCATGCTGGAAAGTCTTCAATAAATCAGTAAGAATTCTCTTGGCTGCTTCTCTAGCACAGCTTGATATTTACTTTGTTTCATTCAGACAAATATTTATCTTTCTTTTCAAATAAGAACTTATAAGAAAATAAGCCAATCTGAAAAATTGCTGGGGCTTACATCCTGAGTAGTTTCGACTTGTTTTTCCTAGGTAGCTGAAATCTGTGTTAACTTGTACTTTAGTCCTTTATGTAATGATATTAAAACTAATACAATCACAACTAGTACAATCATTTCGTGTGTGTGTGTATGTATATGTATGTATATGTGTGTGTGTGTGTGTGTGTGTGTGTGTGTAATCAATATATATATTGATTAGCCTATAGGCAACATCAATGTACAGGTTCAAACACATATTACCAGTAAAATTCCAAGCAAACAATTTAAAATGAGAGTAGGGTAAAATTATAGAATAAAATACAATAATTCAATACATAAATATATAAAATAGAATAAAATGACATAAAATTATATTTCTGTATCACCCCTGCAATCTATCCCAATCAGGCCCATATATGCCAATCTCAGTCGGACCATTTTACTTAAAAAATGTGCTGTATTAAATGTAGTTTTCAGATTCCGGCCACACATGAAGTATGTTGTTTTAATACAGGCCTCCTACTGGGCCACACATTTAATATATGATCAAGGTACTTATCTCTTGCCCCCTTATACAAACAGCAATTGAATAATATATTAGTCAGATCTTCTACCTTTTCAGCTCCACAGATACATGTTTGTTCATTGTATGGGATAGAATGGAATCTCCCAGAACTAACCATTGTATCAAGCTGTTCAAATCTTGCTCAGGTAAATGTTTCCCTGAGATATTTTGGCAATTGTGATTTTATATATGGTAGTTGTCCATTTGGAATGTGCGCTTATATTTGCTCAGCCATTTCAGGGTACCAGTCTTATTAAATATGGCTATTTCATTTTAAGCTTCTATATCTATGATTCTTTGGACAACTTTTTTTTTGGTTCTCTGTTACACAAGAGGCAGGAAGACCACAGCTCTTTATATAATTTGTCAATTTAATAATCCAGAAAGTTTATTAGGATTCCAAGTATAAATAAAACTCTGAATAAGTATTTGAGTTGTTCTATTAAGTGCTTGACAAGAATCACAGAAATCCAGGTTCAAATTTAACCATGAAAACTCATTGAGTAATGATGAGCTAGTCAATGTCTGGCAGTCCAATCTGCTTCAGAGGATTGTGGAAAATACATTAAGAAAAGTATGTAATGTACACTGTTCATGAAGTAAAAAAGGGATGACTCTCTAACAAACAAATATATAAATAAATCATTTTAATCCATACAGCCAATATACTACTGGAAAATACCAAGTGGATATGAACAAAGATCTTCATAAACAAATATGCCTAAAGCTATAGTCCTAGAGATAAGGTTTTCTCTTTAATTTATTGGATACATTGTTGTTTCTAGTCTTTTAACATGTTACATGTATTCCATTTTTTTTCATAAATGTATTCCAATTTTTTTCATAAATGAATATGTCTGCATTAGAAAGTTCCCTTGAAAACAAATGGAGACATATATGTATCATATATACATGTATATCATATACACAAACACACACACCCAGCACATACAAAAAATTAGTTGAACAGCTCTCTATGCATTAATACATCACTGGAATGTTCTGTTAAAGAAGATGGACAAATATGTGCATATTCATGTTTAGTGCACAAGCATCAGTCTGCTTCTTGTACAAGGTGTGAGAGATAAACCTTAGATTAGGGTCTATGCTATATTATTTTTTAAGAAGTGCTTTAACATTTAAACAGCCAGGAACTATCACAGCTACCTTACTTAATGAAGAAAGACAAGGCGAAGATTACCTTTTATTTTAAGTCCCAGAAGTTTTTGGCGTTCTGGTAGCACTCCTGTAAGTCCTTTGAGTGATTGCTTGAGATCCAACACTGTGTCCTCTTCTGACAAGGTGGTTATTAAAAATTCTTGCCCACCCCATTTTATAATGAGAGAGACAGCCATATTTGTAACATATGTTAAAACAATCCTATGAAAAATCAAAAGAAATAAAAAAAAATGGTTAGACAATCCCAGATATCTAACCTATTTTAGAGATAATAGGAAAAACAACCCAAATACTTAATCTTGAGTGTCATTCTCAACACACTTAAAGGGATTTACCTCTCGATACACACGTATCTGATTTGCACTGTAACAAATCCAGGACATTATTTTTGTAACATCTTCCAAACTTCTATATTCTCTTTTACACAATATTGTTCTAATGACTTCAAAAAAACAGACTCCTAGTATGCATTATAGAGAGGTATTTAGAAATCAGAGGTGGGAAAGGGTCAGAGAAAATAACAGCTGAGGAAACTATCCTTAATGTATTTTAAACTGAGAATAAATTTTATGTATGGTGCTGTTTTTTATATGTACATAATGGATATACACAGTGCATACATATAAACATACAATGCATTCACATCTCTAAAAAAGATATCTTTTTTAGATATCTGAATACATTGCATTTTATATATATGCACTGTGTATACACACACACACACACACACACACCATACACAAAATTTACTCTGTTTAAGAATTCTTTAACAATCAATAATGTATCTCACCGACAAACCAAACACCCCTTGCCTAAATAACCACTGGAATCTGATTCAAGCAAATGAAGATTCAACAATTTATAAGAGAGAACCCTATTCTAAGCAAAGCATCTACTTTTATCTATTTCAAACCTCCAATACAATGAACGGCACAGTAGAGAATTTTCTCAATTGAACCCTATTGTCATTTCGATAAATTATCACTGGTGAGCTATTTATCACAACATGGCGGTTTTATAGAAATCTCCTTATCTTATTAGACTTATGAGATATTTGAATAATTTTATACGTGCTGATCAAAATGGATTTCTGCCAAAGAGATAAATTAAAGACAATAGGAGAGTAATCTTGGATACTTTGGAATATTATGAAGCACATTCAGATAAACAAATGGCTTTGATATTTTTAGACACGCAAAAAGCCTTTGATAATGTAAATTGGCAGTTCATGACATTACAAATGGAGCAGATGGGGTTTGTTGGAAAATTCATCAAAACTATTGAAGCAATATACCATAAGCAATCAGCGAGAGTAATAATAAATGGAGATTTAGCAAAGAGTATCAATATTAAAAAAGGAACTAGGCAAGGATGCTCACTGTCTCCTCTGTTGTTTGTTTTGACTTTGGAAGTATTAAATAGAAATATTAGAGAAGATAATGAAATAAAGGGAACGAAAATAAAAAAGGAAGAATACAAGTTGCAAGCATTTGCAGATGATCTGGTCTTTATATGAGGAACCATTAAAAACAGCGCCTAAATTAATAGAAAAGATTGAGGAATTAGGTCAGGTGGAAGGTTTGAAAATAAAAGATAAAATCAAGATTTTGACTAAGAATATGGTTGAAAAGTGTAAGAAAGAATTGGCGGAGAGATTGAACATTCAGATCACAAACAAAGTTAAATATTTAGGAATACAAATAAGTTAGATGTGGAACACTTAAAGAGGATAATTATTATAAACTCAAACAGATTGTGACAGATTTGGCAAAATGGGAAAATTTGCAACTATCTTTATTAGGGAGAATATCTACAATCAAGATGAATATATTGCCAAGGATTTTATATTTGTTTTAGACAATTCCAATTAAACTTGGGAAAGAATACTTTGAAGATTTAAATAAAGTAATACTGAAGTAAATATGGCAGGGAAAGAAGGCAAGAATTAAATTAAAATTGTTACAAGATGCTAGATCAAGAGGAGGTTTTGGTTTACCCAATTGGGAACTATATTACCAAGCAACAACATTGATGTGGGTGAAAGAATGGATAGCTTTAAGGAATACTAGATTATTAACACTAGAAGGTCATGATTTACTATTGGGATGGCATGCTTTTTATGGTATAAGGAGAGTAAAACACATGGGTATTTTAGGAGATACTATATTCGAGATGCTTTATTATCAACATGGGAGAAAATAAGAAAACAACATTACATGAAAATACCAATCTGGTGGTCAACTATTGAAGCATTTGCATATCCAGTTGTTTATAAAATGGAACAGTCAGATATGGTGAAATATTGAATAAAGAGGGTGAACTCAAATCTATGCAAGAACTACAGGACCACGAAATAAAAATGAATTGGTATTCATATATGCAAATACATTCTAGATATGATAAAGATTTTAAAACAGAAGGTTTTTATGATAAATTAACTGAATTAGATGAAATTTTGACAGTTACTGATGAAAAGGTGATTAAAAATTTATATGGATATTTACTAGAGGTTAAATTAGAAGAACAAGTTAAATGATTGCTTGGGGGAAAATTTTAGATATGGGATAGACTTAGAAAAATGGCAAATATTATGGTCTCAAAATTATAAAATGACAATGTCAACAGCATATAAAGAGAATTTGTATAAGATGTTTTACAGGTGGCATCTACCCCCCGGTAAGAATAGCAAGAATGTTTAAGAACAAATTGGAGAAATGTTGAAAGTGTCATCAGTTACCTGGATCATATTATCATATGTGGTGGAAGTGTGTGAAGGCCAAAAGATACTGGACTAAAATTCATATGTGGCTGGAAAAATGACAAAACAACATATAGACTTGAAACCAGAAATATTTTTATTGGGTATCTTACCTGAAAGATACAGTAGAGAATTGACGTATTTGATTATAAATGTTTTAACAGCGGCTAGAATTGTATTTGCTAAAAATTGGAAAAGTGAAATAATTCCGATAGAAGAGGACGTGATTAAGAAAATAATGGAATGTGCTGAAATGAGTAAAGTGACACTAGAAATCAGAGAGCAAGAAGATAAACAATATTATGAAATATGGGATTTTTTTTATTTTATTTTCTTAAGAGTTCAATGTTACCTTAATCCTTTTTGTTTAGTTGTTTCGCCCAATTGTCCTGGCTCAGATGTTATCCACCTCTTTCCTCACCCCTGCACAAATCTTAATCCAGCTGAGTCCTCCTCTTCGGGGTGGCCATTTTTGACCACCGCTTCAGTCGTCTTCGGGGGGGAAAAAGACCAAGCCCAGTAGGGGAGATGCGGCTCCCCTCAACCTGGCTGGCAGCTTCCCGTTACTCCACCGCCCCTCCAAGGCAGCTTCAGCCCCTAATCGCAATGATCTGGGCTCTCCAATGAAAGAGCACGGACCATAGCTGCGGATAGTCACAATCTACGGTCCGTCAGCGAGGAGGGCTCAACCTGGAAGTTGCATCCCAGAGTTTTAAAGGAACTGGCAGAGATCATCTCAGAACCATTGCACCATATCTTTCAAAAATGCTGGAGCACCGGGGAACTACCAGAGGACTGGAAAAGAGCTGATGTGGTTCCCATCTTCAAAAAGGGAAAAAAAAAACAGACCCAGGAAACTATAGAGCAATCAGCCTAACATCAATACCCGGGAAGATACTGGAAAAGATAATAAAAAAACCAGATCTGCCAACACCTAGAAACAAGTAAAGTAATAACTAGCAGTCAGCATGGGTTTGTTAAAAACAGATCATGCCAAACCAATCTCATTTCATTCTTCAACACAGTGACTAAATTAGTAGACCAGCAAAATACTGTAGACATAATATAGTTAGATTTCAGCAAGGCATTCGACAAAGTAGACCACAACCTATTACTTAGTAAGCTAGAAAAAAATGGAATAGATAGCATCACCACTAGATGGACTCGCAACTGGCTGACAAACCGTACTCAACGAGTAGTCCTTAATGGGTCTAAGTCTACATGGAGGGAAGTAAGCAGTGGGGTGCCACAAGGTTCCATCATAGGCCCAGTACTCTTCAATATCTTCATTAACAACTTAGATGAGGGAATAGAAGGGGAACTTATCAAATTTGCAGATGATACTAAGCTGGCAGAAATAGCTAACACCCAAGAAGATAGGCTCAAGATCCAGATGGATCTTGACAGACTAGAACACTGGGCCATATCTAACAAAATGAAATTCAATGTAGAGAAAAGTAAAGTCCTACACTTAGGCAAGAAAAACCAAAAGTACACACATAGACTGCGTGAAACCAGGCTCAATAGCAGTAACTGTGAGAGGGATCTTGGAATCTTAGTGGACAACCAACCAGCTAAATATGAGCCAGCAGTTTGCAGCAGCAGCCAAAAAAGCTAATGCAATCCTAAATTGTATTAAAGTGGGATACAATCCAGATCAAGGGAAGTACGAATACCACTCTATAAAGCCTTAGTAAGACCACACCTAGAGTACTGCATCCAGTTTTGTTCACATTATAAAAAAGATGTTGAGACTCTAGAAAAAATACAGAGAAGAGCAACCAGGATGATTAGGGGACTGGAGGCTAAAACATACAATGAACGTTGCAGGAACTGGGCTTGGCTAGTCTAGTAAAGAGAAGGACCAGGGGAGACATGATAGAGGTCTTCCAATATCTGAGGGACTGCCACAGGGAGGAAGGGGTCAAGCTATTTTCTAAAGCACCTGTAGGCCAGACAAGGAATAATGAATGGAAACTAAACAAGAGATTTAACCTAGAAAAAAGGAGAAACTTTCTGACAGTGAGAACAATCAACCAATGGAACAGCTTGACCCTCGGAAGTTGTGGGAGCGCCATCACTTGAGACTTTCAAGAAAAAAATTGGACTGCCATTTGTCAGAAATGGCATAGGGTCTCCCGCTTGGGCAGGGGGTTGGACTATATGACGTACAAGGTCCCTTCTAACTCTGATTATCTGTTACCTTTTGGAATATCAAAAGGGTTGGAGCTAATCTATTCTCCAGCATGCCTTTGGGATAATCCACACGTATGGGTTGATTCTGCCTTTCTGCCCAGAGACTGAGTCATCAAATGGGTTGATTCTGCCTTTCTGCCCAGAGACTGAGTCATCAATCTCTGCCACACCTCTTCCTGTTGGGGTAGGAAGCCCACTAGCCCCAGTCATGGCTCAGTCTTGGCCCTATAGACACGTGGCAAAGGTTGGCTCCAATTTCAGCAGAAAGCAGCAGTTTAAAGTGTGGATTCTCCCAAAGGTTTGCAAACTCCCTAAAAAGAAACAAAACGTCACTAATAGGCAGCAATTGGATCTTCTGTCTGCTCCATTTTTTCATGGCTCCCTGAACTACCAATTGAAGGCCTAACAGCCCAGGAGTCAAGGGGAGCCCCAAAATGAACTCCCTTGCCTGGGAGGCGCGCTGAAGCCATGATCGCCACCAGCACCGTTACGCATCCAGGCTTGACCAGGTAGCTCCGGAGCAGCCGCTTTCGCTTTTGTGCTTACAGCTGATTTTCGGGGCCAGCAACGGCCATTTTGCCCACGTGGCAAGTTGTGCAGGCTATCCAGCAGACTGGTAGGGCTGCCACTGCCACAGCCCAGGGAAGGCTTCTAGGACTTGAATTCCCACCTGGGCAAGAGGATTGGAGGATCGAGAGAGCTCTCCTCCTAGCAAGGCAGCATGGAGCCCACAAGTGCAAAACGATCCAAGCAGAGTCCCAGGAAGGCCAGATCTGCAAGTAAAGAGGCTGCTAACAAGATAAAGGCAAAGGCTCTTTAGTCCAGAAAGCCCACAAGAGCAGAAGAAAGAAGGCAAAAAGCATTGGAAGAGCAAATCTCCAGGGTTCAGAAGCAAGCAGACCAGGAGAGGTATTCCCCCTCCCCCCAGCCAGAGCTGGGCACTTCCCTCCCACAGCAGCCATTAACACAGGAGTTGCCTGCAGCTTCCGGGGCTGGGTCACCAGAGGGAGATAGGGAGAAAGGATTTATCTCATCTGCTGAGAAATCCAAACCCAAAGATTTCCTTTTGATTGCATGATTCCTAGCCCTGCAGATTTACAAGTCAGGGACAGGGCTGGAATACCTGAAGCCACTTTTACTCCAACTGCAGCGGGGATGCACTCAGCAAATAGATTGGGCCCAGAATTATCAGAGGACTTTAAGGCCCTTATTGCTCAGGCCATTTCTCACAAGGTAGCCTCCACCCTGAAGGGGAGGAGCCTTTCATCTTCCCCAAGATCTGATCCTCAGCCATCTCAGCCAGTGCAATACCTGGCCTCCATGGGATTCCCTAGATATCAGAGGGACACTTCTCTGGCCCACTCCATCAGAAGCAGGGTATCTGGGATGGAGGAGGAAGTTCAGGGAGAGAAGGGGTTCTCAGAAGATGAGGACATATCACCTGATCCACCCCCGTTAACAGGTCTGTTCAGTGTAGGGCTGTTTAAATCTCTCCTCCACAAGGTTAGGACCACTGCCCAAATTGATCCTCTGCCCACTATTCCCACTGCCTCACCTGATACTCAGGGGTGCAACAGCAGGGTTTTTTCTGAACCCACAGTTCTCCAACAGGAGATTCCTTGTCCCAAGATATTTCTGGACATAGTTCAGAGACAATGGGTGCAGCCAGGATCCTTCCCCACACCGGGGGGCTAATGATAATTTGTTTTTCAATATGGCTCCTCTCCTTACTGAGTCACTTCAACTTCCCCCTTTGGACGAATCTTTGGCATCCTTGATCTTTCCCTCTGCAATATTGGGCAACATAGCAGAGGCCCTTAAGACAGAGGACAAGAAGATTAAAAAGTGGGATAAAATAGTCAGTGTAATTCAGTGAAACTTTTGTGAACAAAATAAATGAAATGAAATAAATGAGAGAATTGAATTAGGAAGGAATGGGAACATTTTAATTACTCAATGTTTTATAAAATATAAGTGAAGTGGGGGGGAAGTAACTTTGGAAAGTTTATAAGTGTTCCCTTAGAAGTATGATACCTATTTGAAAAGTAATGTGTAAAATGTTTAAGATTTAAATGAATATTAATATTAACGACAGAATTGAATTGGTATGGATTGTTGTTTTAATTATATTATATATTAATAATTCTTTCTTTTTTTAAAATACAGTGTGTAGTCTTAGAATGTACCAAGCAGAATCCGAACGGAAGTTGTGTATTATATTAAGTGTTATAATTTTAGGGGAAAGATATAAAGGCGTCATACTCCAATCGGTGATTACAGGAGAAATTTTGTTTAATGAGAAAAGATAATAGATGCTGAAACAGGACAGACAAAGAATATAAGTATAATGATCTGAATTGAGATGAAATAAATAAAATAAAATTAAGAAAGTTAAAAGAGGGGAGAAGCTATATAGAAAATGTAGAATGGTAATAAGATATGGAATGGTATATAAAAATGAGCATGAACTTGAATTTGTGTCTGTACGGAGAGATGTAATCAAGCTGCTTTCAAAAAAGATGTTTTTATGTTTTATTTATGTTTGTTTTTAAAAATCAATAAAATTTTCTAAAAAAAAAAAAAAAGACTGAGGACAAGAAGGCAGAACAAAATTTCCGCAGGACACACCAGGCCAACGCTTGGGCGGTCAAAGCAGCAAAGCATTTTTTCCCCATAAGCATTCGCTTTCTAAAATAATTGTACTCCTTCTCCACTTCCTTGTAGATTTTCTGCACATAATGGGAAAGTTTTAAAAGGAAGGGAATTTACTTAAAACCCCAACTGTGTTTTATCCTCGTCCCGTGATCTGGAGCCTTGGATATGGCTTTTATTTCCTTCACCAACTTTCAGATTTCAGAGCTAGGGGTTTTATCATTTATCTCTTGCTCTGGGCAAAACCAGACAGGGATCAGACCAAAACTCTTTTAAGGAGGGAAGCGGAGGTGCCATAAGTGATGCATAATAAAAATCACAACCAGGGCCAAACACCCCCAAACACCTCCCACCCCCCAAATTCACCCAGTGGATGGCTGGCATCAGACGAATCCAATCTGTTCCTTAGAAACCGAAGTCTTCCCAGCCCCTCCCCTACCAGGGTCTCCCCCTCCTCACTTCCCAGCAAAATCGAGGAGGGTTTCCCTATTCTCTGCCTGGGACGCCAAATGCAAACTCCCAACATTTACCAATAGGTTGCAGAACGACACCCCCCACACCCCCGTCTCGGGTCCCGGTCTAAAAGCTCCGCTGCGTTTGAACTCGAGTAACCCTAGCCCAGCGAGCTGCCAATCGAAGGCAGTCGACGACGCCGGCCTAGCAGGAAAAGGACCGACGGGGGTTCCCGACACCGATCGGCGCTCCTTGGGGAGGGTGGGAGACAAACGTTCAAAGGCTTTCCTCCCGTCATTAAGCGAGGGAGGGGCGGAATTGGGGGCGTTGCAACAGTCCAAGAGCAATAAAGGGTTTTTTTTCCCTCTGGGCCTCTTAGAGACCCCCGATTTTAATGGTCAAGCCGGGACTTTGGCGGGGAGGGGGCGGAGAAGGCCCTGGCTGCACGGGAGGGGGGAGAAGGGGGGCTTGCGATCTGCGGGCCGGGGAGCGGGAAAAGTCAACCAACTTGGCAGGCAGCCGGATTACGGGGGGGGGGGACGGGAGAGACGTGGGTGTAAGAAGGATAACGCCGAGATGGAGCAAAAGCAGGGAAGGATACAGAAGAGAGAGGGAGAGAGAGAAAAGAGGCAACGGGCCGTAGGAAAGAATCTCCCGCGAGAGAGGCGAGGGGGACGCGGCTCCAAAAAAAAAGGATCCTCCGAACCCGGCAGGTTCGTACGGATGTCTCACCTGCTGCCCGTGCGATTAATCTTCACCCCAAGCGGGGCTGGAGAAGGGGGTCCCTGCTTGCTTTGCCCGTCCGCGCCCGCCTTCCTTCCTCCTCCGCCTCGGCGCAGTTCCTCCAACAGCCGCTACGGCACCATGCCTGGCCTGCGCTGGCGTGGCTGCAACCGATCGCGCCTCCAGGGCAGCATCGCCGCCGCGGCTGTCTACCCGCTGAGGGCCACACAGACGACCCCAAGCGGGCTCTCCTTCCCCATTAACGGGCGCCCGGGGTCCCCGCGAGCTCCTGCGTTGCGCGCTTCCAGCTTTGCCAACAAACCGCCAGGCTCAAGCAGCCTCCTCCGCCCCCTACCCTAGCGGGGAAGAGCGCATGCGCTCCGGGGGCAGCGAGACAAAGTGCCTGGCTGCGCCGTGGCGGGAGCCGCCGAGTGGAAGAGGGCCGCCCTCTCCTGGGGAGCGCGGCGTTTGCGGCTCTCCTGTTCAGTCCCCAACGCTGCCCCGGGCAGCCATGTTCCCGCCAAAGCCTTTCGGACCTGCAAATCTGGCAATCGCCTCTTTACGAGGGCAGGCAGAACCCTCTGATCCCCGCCGGGGTTTCCAAGCGCTTCACATTCTAGCCTCCTTTACCAAGAAAGCAGGCGCGCAATTTAATGGTGCCGTCGCTCCAGTAAGGGCGGAGGAGCCAACTCGGAATATGGCAAGATCTCGGAACCAAGCCCGGGTGGCTTTAGGAGAGCATGCTCCGTTTAAGGGATTCTGAATGTAATGAGGTTGGATGGAGTACGTGCCATCAGATGATAACGACTACATAGATTTTCTCCTAGATGATCTATCCCGGACTTGGTCTTCATGTCTTCTAACAGTGCACCCACCGCTGCTGCTATCAGGTCCATCCACCTTGCCGACGCTCGTCCTCTTATCTTTTCTACCACTTTTCCCAGCGTTTAGAGACTTCCAGAGATCTAAGTCTTTGCCTCCTATACCCAAAGTATGAAAAATTGAGGCTGGTCATTTGTGCTTAAGTGGGAACTCTGGGTTGATTTGTTGCCTTAATCTGTTCGTTTGCTTTCTTAGCTATCCATGGTATCCTCAGGGGTCTTCTTCAACACCAAAGTTAAAAATCCATTGAAATTGAACTAAACCGTTGGAAATAAACATAAATGGGAGTAAAACTCTGGCATAAAACTGCCATGTCTAATCACAATCGGGCCAAGGTAGACACCCTGGAGTGGAATTGGATGTTTTCATAGGCATGGGTGTATTTGCTGGAGGATTTGGCGGATGGGGGGGGGGGGAAGGCAAGTTGCAAAGCATATATGTCACATTTTAGTAGACATAATTATCTTCCATGACATTCAGTATAATAAAAATTACAGTGTTGCATTACAAATCTCTGCTTTCTGTTTTAATGCAACCCACTCTTTGTACAGTAACTATTGTATGATGAGATGTGTGGAGAACTTCACACTGAAGTATGTATCATTCCACGTAGTTTGCTCTGATTTAAGTTACAAGGTGAATAGCAAAAAATGCTTCCAGATTTCAAGAAGCACATCTGACTAGACACAGATGAAAATTTGGATTATCATTAGAGATTTAGTGGCTTATTGATTTCAGTCCCTTCCATCTATGAATCAAAATACGGCCTGAAGATCTGTTCATTATACTTAACAAATTTCAAAAGAGAACTAGTTTGGTAATGCAGTCCTAGGGGTGTCAAACTGGATTTCTTCGAAGGCCGGATCAGCATTCTAGTTCTCCTCCATGGGCCAGTGGAGGGGAGGAGGGTGCGGTGGGAAGGCTGGACAAATGCCTCCTGCAGCACTCTGCTGTCCATTTTTGGTTTTCGGGCTGTTTTTTGGCCTGTTTTGGGGCTGTTTTTCAGCCCTTTTTCGGAGTGTTTTTTGGCCTCTTCTCCAGCCTGTTTTTTGGCCTGTTTTTGAACCGTTTTCAGCCGGCAGAGTGCTGCAAGAGTCCATGGCAGGTGAAAACAAGGCACGCGCGTGTGTGTGTATGTGTACACAGCCCGTTTTAGCCACCAGAAGCACTGTGGGCCAGTCCTTTGATATTTCCAGGCCGGCCCCGTAGGCCAGATTTAAACACCCCGTGGGCTGCATCCAACCTGCAGGCCTTGATATAAAGGCCTACTCAGAATGAAGTGAGTTCATTGAAGCTTACTTCCAAGAAAGTATTTAAATGTTGCAATTTCAGAAGGATAAGAGTTATAAAGACAGTCTTTTGGTTGTCCCAGAAAAAAATAGCTTTCAGAACTCAGATTTTTTTTAAATGAATGTATTTGAAAATATGATTTTGGAGTTTATTTTCAACTCTTCCCTTTCTTTGCTTTAGGTACAAATCACAGCTGTTATTGTGATTCATTTTTGAGCATCTAAAAATTATACATTATACTCTGCCCACAACCTGGAGTTCGATCCTCATGGGGCTCAAGGTTGACTCAGCCTTCCATCCTTCCAAAGTTGGTAAAATGAGGATTCAGATTGTTGGGGGCAATATGCAAATAACCAAACACCTCTTGCCTAAATAACCACTGGAATCTGATTTCAAACCTCCAATACAATGAATGGCACAGTAGAGAATTTTCTCAATTGAACCCTATTGTCTCTTCGGTAAATTATCACTGCTGAGCTATTTATTACAACGTGGTGGTTTTATAGAAATCTACTTCTCTTTATTAGTCTGCGTATGCAGGGAACAACAGCATAAGGAAAAGTAGTAGCAATTCTCTTTAAACCTAACCCGCACTACGTTTTTGTTCCATTTTCTTTGCAAGCGGAACGCGCACTCCGTGGCGTAGAAGCTTACAAGGCAGATCCCGTCACCCGAGCCAGGCTGGTACGTTAAACTCAACCAGAAACAGGCGCACATTGAGTCTCTCTCCTCAAGGCTATCTGGACACCCCTCGGGATCTACACGGAGGGAGCAAATTCACCTGCAGAACACCAGCATGTAGGATGGAGATGCTCCAGCACTTTCCCTGCCCTTTCCTGAATCGGAGGGCTCCCTTCCCTTCAGGAATGGCTTATTAGCTGTGGCAGCTCCATTGGTCACCCGCACACCCAAAGAAAGGAAAAGAACCGTCGGCAACTCTACCTCACTCCTAAGAGACCGTCCCGACAACCAGAGCCAGGCAGCCCGGGCCCTCACGAACTGGAAGCTCTTTCTGAAGCATTAGGCTGCAACAGCTGGATTGTGAAAACACCAAGACAAGAAGAGGGGGCCATCGGAGTCTGGCACGTGAGACTTCTGAGTTTCAGTTTAGGACCTCCCTTTTTCCTTTCAAGAAGCGAGCGCTGCTCAGAGAAGTTAGAAAAGAAATCTCTCAGTGAAGATGAACAAAAAGAATGCAGCTCTCAGATTTCATTTTGTGTTTATTATATGGATATGTTTATCTTACACGTATTATGTATTTTTTATTATAATGGAACTATCACACAACAGAGAGGGAGAAAGAGAGAGAGGTGTAAATATAATTATGAACAAAAGGATACGTTCATATGAATTGCTGTCACTTTAATTGTCCAAGGTGGTATGAAAGTAGGTAGAGATGATTTACATACAACACTCCAAAGAATAGGGGTAATAGAAGAATTGAGAGGACTTTGCAGAAGAAGGCATCAACATGTTGAATGAATGAGATCCAGAAGTAAAATCTTGTTTAGAACTTTAAAGATGAATGTGGCCATGTCCTAATAAGATCAAGAATGCCTTGTATTTTCCTGGGTGTCTTGGGGAGGAAATTTGGTTTGGTTTTGTTTGAGACTTGGGATTACATTAAGCCTATTTTAGGTTTGGAGAATAGTGCTTCCCTACAATGACAGGAAAATCATGATATAAAAGATTTTTCTTCAGGTGATTAACATTTGTTGTTAGTCATCTAGACATATAAAATTTTGCTTCATAAGAACAGATATGAAAATGCTTTTTATTTTTATTTTTATTGGTTTTTAAAACAAACATGAACAAACAAAACATAAAAACATCAAGCCATCTTCCATATATATACATACAGTGTGCCGGTTGGTTTACAAATTGTTTTGTGCTTCCATTTCGTAGTCTTCAATTACAATTACATTGTATATACTCTCGTACTTTCAATCAAATATTAAATACATTAATATTATTAATCATTTGACTATACTTTTATTCATTCATATTTTACAAAATAATCATATTTTACTTAATTTGTTTTATAACAGTTCATATTATCATCCCAAATCTATCCTAAAATCATTTTGTAGATATAAGAAAAGAATACATCTTTATATATTTATTATTTAAGAATCTACATATTTCATTACTATATTTTATTGTCTAACCATTGATAGAATAGATCCCAAATTTTATAAAATTGTTTATCATCTTGTTCTCTGATTTCAAATGTCAATCTACTCATTTCAGCACATTCCAATATTTTCTTAATGATTTCCTCCTGTGATGGTGTTTTCTCATTTTTCCAGTTTTTGGCAAATACAATCCTAGCTGCTGTTAATACATTTACAATCAGATATTTCAAGTCTTTACTATATATTTCAGGTAAAATTCCCAATAAAAATATCTCTAGTTTCAAATCTATATGCTTTTTTGTCATTTTTTCCAACCACGTGTGGGTTTTAGTCCAATATTTTTTAGCATCCGCACATGTCCACCTGAGCCAGGTGTCTGATGACATTTCCAACATTTTTTGGATTTATTCTTGAACATTCTTGCTATTCTTGTCGGGGGGAAATGCCACCTGTAAAACATCTTATACAAATTTTCTTTATATCCTGTTAACATTGTCATTTTATAATTTTGAGACCACAGTTTTTGCCATTTCTCTAGATCAATCCCATATCCAAAATTCTTCCCCCAAGCAATCATAGTTTCTTTAACTTGTTCTTCTAATTTAATTTCTAATAAATATCCATACAATTTTTTAATCACCTTTTCATCAGTACCTGTCAAAATCTTATCTAAGTCAGTCAGTTCATCATAGAAACCTTCTGTTTTAGAATCTTTATCATACCTTGAATGTATTTGCGCATATGAAAACCAATTCATCTTTATACCTTGTTCCTCTAATTTTTGCATAGATTTAAGTTCACCCTTTTCATTCAATATTTCACCATATCTAACTGTTTGTTCCTTTTTGTATATTATAGGATAAGAAAATGCTTCATAGTCGATAACCAGACTGGAATTTTCAAATAACATTGTCTTTTAATCTTCTCCCAGTTTAACCACAGAGACTCCCATATACAATGTCTTCTAAAGTCCCCCCGTGTTTTAGTTCCTTTATACCATAAAAAAGCATGCCACCCCAACAACAGATGTCCTTCTAATGTCAACAATCT